AAGTTACGTCTAAAATCTCGAAAATAAATGATGGGAAAAAAATTCTACCTACGCCACTGAATTCTTCGTAAAAAGTTGCCCATATAATGTTTTATTTATAATACTCCATCTTTGATAATAAGTGAGATATTCGCGATTGTCGTTTTCGCAAAATTTTCAGTTTTTGCCGATAGGGCGAAAACAAAAGACGATAGCTGTTCGGAGTTTTCGGCATTAGCATTTTCTCGAAAAACGAGATCATGACATGTAAGCTACTTTTTTTCTATCTCTTTTAGTTTCGGAGATAGCCTATGTGGACATCGAAATTGGGACACCCTGTACACAATAACAACAATTATTAAAAGAAATTGAATCAAAATACTTACTTTTGACCGTTAAAAAGTAATGAAGGCCTCTGCTAGCGTTAATGTCGCGCGATGGCTGACGCAGTACTGTGAAACACGTTTAGACATTCAAATCACACCTCTTTCCTCTTGCACCCACCCCAGTTGTCCATATAGTTTCGCTAAAATTGCGACTGTCACAACCGTACTCAGTCTACCCTATATCTCTTCTTTCCAAGTAGTTATTAGTCTTTTCCAGCAGTATCTAACATTCTGGAAGCAGTAGGTAGCTTTTTGAAAAGCATATCTCTTTTCCAAACAATTATTAAAGTCTTTGAAAGAAATAAGTAGTATTGGAAGCAGTATTCCGCTTGTCCAAGTAGGTCAAAACCTTTAACAGCAATGTTTAGCACTGTCACCAATCTGACATGCTTCGCCCAATTTGTTGCTGATGTAATCGACGCTAGAGGGAGGTAGATGCTGTGTATCTCGACTTTCGGAAGGCGTTTGATCAGCTGGATCACTTTATCTTATTAAAAAAGCTGAGTAACTTTGGATTAAGTGCCCCTCTGTTGTTTTTTGATTCCTTGAACACAGTGGTTGTGGTAACTTTGGATCATTTCGGAATGCGGGAGATTGTTAGTAGTTATGATTACGATTAGTTAGGTAATATTAGTTTGTATTTTTGCTTATAGCTATATCTTTTTCATTTAGTTAATTTAAATATTGTGATGTTATAATACTTTTTTTTTCCTGTAACTGGGTTAGTACCTGTGAGAAATAAAGTTCTATTATTATTATTAAATATTTAATCTTCTGATAGCAAAATTAGTCTTTTGCCAACAGTATCTACTATTCAGGCGTCTAAAGATGCAAAAAACATTGTGAATTTTTAAGCGACATCATGATTCTTGAATTTTTTTTAATTAAATTATTTTATTAATAAATTATGAATTTTTTAGGTTCGAGCAATTCTCGGAAACACCCACAAAAAAATTAGTAGCTGAGACTTGTGTTTCCGTAATTAATTTCCACCCTAATTTACCGTTTATTATAGCAGCCGGAACTTATACTGGTATAATATAATAATTAATTTTTAAATTTAAAATAAATTTTAATTTTAATTAGGTGCAATAATCATTTGGAACATCCAAAACGATGACGACGATAATGTTATAGTGAAAATCCAAGCTCACGAAGAAAATATAACCCAACTTTCTTGGATTTCCGATTTAGATGACCCAAAAATCGTGATTTTGGCTTCTTCGAGTTTAGACGGTTGTTTATGTTTGTGGAATTTTAACTCCGAATTAGAAATTAAACACAAGTAAGAATTACTTTTTAAGAATTAAATCAAACAAGCTTTTTGAATGGGGTAAAATCAAAAAGAAATTTTAAAATAATTCTAAATAAGAAAATAAATCGCTTAAAAAGTCGATTCTTTTTACCGTTATCTTGGAGATGCGAGCTTAAAAGGTCGATGTATAAAGAGTTGCCTAAGTCTTCTCTTGAACCTGGCATTCGGGATTACATACAGGGTCTTTATGGCTCAAATTTATCCTGAGGAAGGTCCCCGGATCTCTGGTAGAAAGTACCGTCGGGTTTTCTTACCCGGTTATCCGTAGATGACGCCATTTTTAGGGTGGGATTTGATCCTGTAAATTTGGTATGTTTGCGGTGTTGGTCAAAGCAAAGGGATGCTTTGGGTCCTAAATTTGGGATTACAAAACGGGGCCTATTCAAAGAGAAGATTTTTTTTTATTATTTTTAGGTACAAAATAAAATCGCCGATTTTACCAAAATCACCAAGATTATTACAAGTACCGGAAGAGATAGCAAAAAAAATTGAAAGAGGGGTTATTACATTCGATTTTTCCCCCTACATTAGAGATATGTTCATCGTTGGGGTTGAAGGAGGATTATTAGTGCAATGTTCTTTATTGGGAACTGTGCCTTTAAAAGGTTTTTTCTTCATCTATTTAATTAAAAAAAATTATTTAAATCATTTTTTTTTTAGGAAGCACTAAAGAAGTACCAATATCAGATCCGGTTTATAAATATTTCGAGCCCCACGAAAGTGATATTGTTAAAGTGCAATTTTCCCCAAATCGAAAAGAGATGTTTTTTAGTTACACAAATAGCGGGCAATTAAGAATTTATATTTTAAACGAAGTATAAAATCAATTAAACAACATAAATTATATATTATTATAATATTTTTAGGATGAACCAGCCCAAACGATTTTTATCAACACTTTCCTCGATTTAACATTTATCCCATTCCATGAAAAAATCATCGCCGGTTGCGGCTCAAAAGGATCAATAGAAATTTTCGGGTTGCGCTCAACAAATTCGCTTCATTCGATTGAAAATTCCAATTTTGAAATTACAATGACACGAATGGAATTAAACCGATCTAGAGTTTCTACGGTTGCTGTGGGAAAAAATAACGGCGTTTTGGAGTTATGGAGTGTTCCATGGAGTTGTTTTAATCAAGAAGAAAATTAATTTGAGGTTATTGTTTTTTTATTAATTAATAAAAACGAAACCCGGAGAAAATAAATATTCCAAATTCACCTATTCTTTAAAAATATGATGTTGATCCGATTATTATTATTATTTTTTATTGAATACCAGGTGAAAATCATGTAAGCTAGCTCTAGGTATAGTGCAAGGAACAGTCCCAGCGATCTTTAATAGGAGAACTTGGGTCTGATTGTATGTCGACCTCCCACCGTAAGATGGCATTAGCGTCTATACTGAAATAATTTAATTAAACTAACAATTTTATTATGAATAGTGGGAATGATGAGAGACAGCAATAACAATTATTATCAGTATCATTCTTTTAATTTAAAAAGTATAGATTCCAATTCGTGTTATATTTTTAAATTTGCCGCTAACTTCAACTTTTAAAAGTTGACGTTTGTTCAGAATGACAGATGTAAACGTCATTTTAAAGTGATTTTTCGGTAAGAGTATAATAAAGTAATAATGGTATGATTAAATAATTAGATTATAATTGACATTATAGCTTTGTTTCAGCTAACGTTATAACTGGTTGGAAGCTCGTCAGATGCTTTATTATTTGACAGGTGTAATTGCCATAGGTAATTGGATCTAAGGAATTCCCAACCAGTCGGAACGTTAATTGGAGCCACTATAGTGGCTCCAAACACTTTCCAAACAGTTATTCTGTGGTTGGAGCTTTTATATATAAACCCAATCTAACCTGTATTCTAGTGGTTCGGTTCTTAGCTGAATAATTCCAAAATATCCCAACAGATGGCGCCACATGCGTTCAATTTTTAGTACGAAGCTATTTTCTATGTTTTTATTTTTACAGTTATTTCACTTAACAAGCAATACACAAAAATATAAAGATATTAAAAAAAAGCGAGATAATCGTAAAAAATTTAAATTGTTTTAAAATTAACAAAAATTAGGTTTGAATTGATAAAAAAATCGAAATAAAATTTTATTATTTTAAGGTTATCCAACTTGACTCGGTTACCATGGTTACCATGGTGATTAAGATCCAGATATTGCAGTTGCTTGTCAAAATTGACGTTGAATTTAAGTTTTCTTAATGAAAAACACAATTAATTGGATTTGAAGGTTGTATTTAATTCAAAATGGGTGAATAGATGAAATTATAAGCAAGGTAAGTGGATTAAATCAAAAAAAAAATATTTTTAGATCAATTAAAATGTATGTACAAGAATTTAGGGTTAAATAACAATTAAAATTAGAACTAACACTAGACCTAGAAAGTTTTAAGTTTAGCCGGGCATCTTAAAGGAATGTTTATAAATAATTTGTAGAGAATTAAATTCCCTTTCTGACAAGCTAAAAAAATAAGGGGAGTTCCATTTAAAATTTTCGACTTTTTTGCCATTGTATATGGAGAAAACGAAAAACGCTAGGTACCAATAACTTTTATCAAAGTCAACCTATTTTCTACTTACAATTAAACGGTGTATAAAAACTATAGCATTCCATTTAAAATAACGAAGTTGTGGTCTACTTCCGGTAGACCGGTTCTAACGAACCAGTTACGTAACATTTTAAATCTGAAGTTAGCTATCATATAATAGACAAATGGACAACTTCATGGTATTCTTTATTAGAAAACATTTAAAATAAGTACAAACACGGCATATTTATCGTCAATATTAATGAAGTTATGGTCAACTTCCGGTTATGAATGTCAATGTCAATTTTGACATATTTGTAATGGTCGTAAAAAATCCTTTAAAATGAGTCCAAACATGATACGTTTAATTCTAATATTAAATTCTTCTACAACC